ATGATTCCTGAACGTTGCATTTATTTGTTCATAATTCTAATTGAATCTTCTCGTATTTGTGTACATAGATAGCAATTATTATTACTGAGTGATTTATTTCATTCATACAGGTATATCTTGATCAATAGTTCCTAAACATTGGATTCATTATTTCATAGTTCTGATTTTAATTGATTCATGATCACGTTTCTCTAGATCCTAATAATTATTATTTAACAATTATTTTTTAATTGAGCACTCAGGTAGATTATATAATCGTAAGTAATGATTTTTTTGTCAGAATTATTATATTAGATATTTTTGTTTCTCGATGGAATTTCATGATAAACAGACAATAGTTTTCATAGACCTAGGTACATACAAACATAGATACATACATACATAAATACATTTAGATACATATATCAAAGAACGGTGAAGCCGTTTAGATAGTATTTTGAGTACGCACGTAGCAGAAGTTATAAACGTTTGTTAATCCGTGTCCGATGGTGGTGCGTTAATAGCGGAATACGCGTGACCGCGAAGTGCGGCCGAACAAATCATTGTTATCCGATCGTTCTCGGGCATTTCGATGCCGTTAAGTCACCTGGATTACAATGGCTCGTGAGAGCACCGAATATCCGATCATTTCTCTATCTCTCTCTCTCTCACACACTTTCTATCTCTATCTCTATGTATGCCTAGGTAAGTTCGTTTATGTGTAACGTGTGTATACCGTGAATACATCATGTATGTATACGAAAACATGACACAGAATATTTTTGTCTAACTTAGTGACTGTACACAAAGTTAGAAAAATAATATCACAAGAAGAAGAAGAAGAAGAAGGATAAGAAAAAGGAAAAAGAAGAGGAAGGGTAGGATAATGTCGATCGTTCAGGGATGGTTGGTGGGCAACAGTTCTGGCATAGATGAAGAGGAGAGAGGAAACTGGCATGGGGACAGGGGGTGATTGATGAGACACCCTCCGGTCACGGTCTCATTACATTTATATAAGCTTTCGTAGATTGAGCTGTGCGCGCAGAAGCTTACACGGCCAGTGTGCTATGGTGTGGTGTGGTATGGTGTGGCGAGGGGTCGTGATTTGATGAGGTTTTATTGCTCACATGACGTGACCAGGGGGGGGTCCATTGTTCCTTGTGTGTTGGTACCCCGACTTGAAAACATTCGATTCGATTTATCGTATTCCTCTAAAACTATTCTAAAAGTAATCCTCCCTTATTATTAAATCCCAATATCCAATTGTTCGAATAAATATTTAATTGTTTATTCAATTAATTAGATATTTATAAAATGTGATCATTTAATATATTATTATTATTCTTAATACGGAATCACAGGGAACTTGGACATAAAAAAGAAGTAAAACTTAATTTAACGAAGTTGGACGTATCGTCCCTTTATTGGGACATCTTCAGCAACTGGACATTTTATTTTATTATATTATAACATATATGAGGCTCATACAATAATTGTTTAACATGTTACCTTAATCTTACAGTTCAGCGTCTTTTTTTATTGTGTAGACATACATTTTTCTTTTTATTAATATTCCAACACACAAAACATATCTAAACTTCGTTAAATATTCGATCGTTATGATTTGAAATTCTCAACAAGACTGTTTTAATCTAGACTAGTGTTTATTAGTCTAGATATCTTCAATGTAAGGTGTCCTCTATTGTCGTGTTCTATTTATTATCGTTAAATTTGAAAAATTCGGTTATAGATGTGATTGAAATTATTCGTGTCAGTTCTAAAATTTACCGTGTTATTGGTTTGAAATATGAAACATTTCGCTGATATTTCTTTTCTACCAATTTTCTTCTAAGTTTAAAATAGTTGCTGGGTCAAATTGAAAATGATGTCCTGTTGTAAAATGATGTTCAGCTAACGCTGTGATATTAATTTTCTTTACATTTATGGGTTTACAATCATTTTTGTGCTGGTCTAGTCTTTATTTGACTTTCTGTTTAGTTTTTCACTTTCCACATTCACATGGTATTTTATACACTAAGTTTGACTGGTCAACATTTGTCTAGCTTGTCTTTTAATTTGGTGTGTAAATAGATTTACATTATATTAAATAGATTATTATAATATTATTACGATATTGTTTAAGTTCATTCCCAATTGGATTTTGTTGAAAAGGTTAAAGTAATCTTAACACGGGACACTTAACTCTGTAGTCTAGTCCTGAGCTTCCTACCCAAGATCCGAAAGTTCATTCATCAAGTTTATGACCAACAGATCCAGCAAACGGGATCGTTCCCGTCGCCTCGTGCCGAGATTTTGCGATGCTGTTAAAGTTTATGGGCGCGGCCTTGTACCCATCTTCTTCTTCTTCTTCTTCTCTCTCTCACTCTCTTTATGTTGCCTTCTTGTTCAGTTTCTCTTCTCTCTCTCTCTATCTCTCTCTCTCTCTCTTTCTGTCTGTCTTTCTCCTTCTCTTCTTCTTCGCCTTCGGAGTTTATTGATTCTCGAGCCGCGGCTTCTTCTTTCCTCCACCGTAGTACCATTCTGTCCTATCGAGTTTACTCCCTCTCGGCTTACCGTTGTCGGCCCAGTTGCTCCCACCCGTCACACCTACGCCCTTGTTTCGCAAAACTCAATGGCGTCCCTTGTTCCTTCCTCACCCAAAAGAAAATCTATCTTCAATATACCATTCCCATATAGTAATAATACTTTTGCACGCGAAAATAATTATAATATCGAAAAAATGAAACACGCACACACAATAAGGGAAAATCTTTAACGGATTGGATTAAGTTCATACAAATGGGAATAAAAGAAACAGATTTAAAAAGAAGAAGACAAATAAAATAGAATACTATAGTAAGAACAGCGCCATATTTGAAAGTAATCGCGATGACATTATTCTTCATTTAGTTGCTGCCACCCTTCCCCTTTTTTTTTCTTTCCTACTTTCAATGACTCGTTGCGGTTCTTAGCGTTTCGTTGTGACCATCCATCTTGCCAAGGAGTTCTCTTTCCAAAAAAAAACCTTATTCTATATTCCTCCCTCCCTCTCTCTCTCTTTCTCTCTCTTTTTCTTGATCTTTTTCTGTGACGGAACCCTCCGGGTGCCGCATTTTCCCGGTGCTTGCTTGCCTTACAGTTACGCGAGAGCGACGTGTATCTAAACGCAACCAGCCGTATAATTGTTAGGGAGGAGGTTCAAGCCAACCCAGAGAGAGAGAGAGAAAAAAAATAGAGGAGGGTTGGGGTAAAAAGGAGGGTGGAAAACGGCTGACGAGAAAGCTCGGTTATCGAACGCAGGAGTAAGAGAGGAACCGACTTGAATTAACGCCATCATATTTCAGGATGGAGGAGCCTCGTACACAGAGGCTTTCCGTTGCCATTTGTCTCGAGACACGCTCATCTGTGTGCCAGTTTGCACGAGTATCTCTCTCTTACTCTTTTATACGTAGCTTCTTGTTTCCTTCTTTCCTTCCTTCCTTCTTAGCAACCTACATGAGTAATATCAGGAACGAACGAGTCTCCGTTAAATCTGGCGAAAAGAAGAAACAACTAGTTGGGGATACTGAAATTTTGCTCTCTCCCCTTTTACTTCTCGATATATGAGGGACATTCGTTAACGAGAAATCTTGAAAGAGTAAGCAAAAGGGAATAGTATTTTTACGCGGGTTTGAAGAAGTCGATTAGGGATTTCCTAACTTGTTTTAGGAACATTTTTGTCGACGAAATAATTGATGATTCTTTTTTACTTGTGATTGTATATATGTATATTATAAATATTACAAATAATTCGACAGATATTACACGAGGATATTTATTTATTCCCAGGTATGGTTTAAGAACAGGCGAGCAAAATGGAGGAAAAAGGAAAGGAACGCTTTGAACGCGGCAGCTGCGGCCGCTGATTTTGGGAAATCGGGTTTCAGTACGGCCAGTTTGAATGGATTCATCGGTCAACCCTTTCCGGATCCGGACACGCTTTACAGTTCGTACAGCACGTACAACAATTGGGCAGCTAAAGTACCGTCGCCCTTAAGCAGCAAAACGTTTCCATGGGTGAACACGTTGAGTTCGGTGGTACCTACCGCTTCTCATCATCATCATCACGCCCAAGTCAGTCCGGTGAATTGTTTCAACGCGTCTACCTCGGTGGCCGGAAGTCACGTGAGCGGTATGTCGGTGTCCGTCGGTCAGGCCGCTACCTCGATGTTACCTGGGATGAGTTCGGGATTGGGGGTCGCCGGTTCCCCGGTTGCAGCATCTAGTGCAGCGTGCCCTTATGCGGCCCCGGCAGCACCGCATCATCCCTACGGTCCGCCGGTTTACACGCCCCATCATAGAACGGCCGGGCCGCCGGAAACGTGCACGGTGATGACGTCTAGCAGCATCGCGTCGTTGCGATTGAAGGCTAAACAACATAGCAGCGGTTATGGTGGTTCCACTGGTGGATCATTCGGTGGTGGTGGTGGTGGTGGTAGTGGTGGTGGTGGTGGTGGCGGAGGAGGTGGTGGTACGAGCGGTGCGACTACCGGTAGCATAAGTCCAGTTAGTTCAAGGGCGTCCTCGGTCGGTGGTAGTCTCAGTGCCTGTCAATACGCTTTGACGAGCGGGGCCGGGGCGAACCCCCATTCGCCAGGCGGGCCCGAGGCCCACGCGACCGCGAGGGCCCAGGTCTGAGGCGAAGCGGGGGCTACCTCTAGCCCCCATCACCATGGTGTACCTTCGAATTCCGGCAATGGCATTGGCGGTGGTGGCAGCGCGGCTGCGGCCGCAGCTGCAGCCGCGGCTGCTGCCGTTGCGGCGGCCAATCAAGTTGTCCTCACTGGTGTTAATTCTCAACAACAGACTACTGACAATCAGCTTAGGTCGCAGGAGTGACCCAGGCCTAGGTCCGCCGCATCGCCGACTTTATCGTCGACGCCCTCCTCGACCACCTCCCACCCGCATTACCTCATATACGACGAGGATGGGACCACGGCGGACCAGAAATTAGAAGAGGAACGAACGGCTGCTAATCTCGAGAGTGCCGCGGCCCTTCAAAACGAACAAATCGTTTCGAGTACAGCTGGGATCGGTGTCGGCGTTGGCATTGGTGGATCAACCAATGCCCCGACGGCTGCCGCTACGGGATTGGCCGGATATTGGCAACACGCGACCACTGCTACCAGTTATTGGCCATCCCTATTCGACTGTTGGACCACACCACCTATTTCTTCCAGTTCTCAGAGCCTTTCTCTGCCTCGTGACGATAATTGAATCATTTCATTCGCCTCAGACTATATCAACACCGAATTTAAGATTCACCTAATGTGACTCTCCTAAACCTTTTATATAATTACTTGCATCTATATTTTATTTATCTTCTCTTCCAAATATTTTTCGTGCCAGAATTGTATCAGTGATTTATTAATGTTATTATACCTTTTAAGGGAATTTTTAGGGAAAAGGGTGCGTGCAATATTCCACTTCCGAGTGTTAACTTTTTCCTTGTTGTTTCTTTTTTCCTTCTAGTTTCTTTCCTTTTTTTTTTATTTTTATTTCTATACACTTTTGATTAGAAACAAAAAATACGGTGATTGACGGAAGGGTGAATCAGTGAGACTTTATTACTCGTCGTAGTTCCTCGTTAATCGTTAACAACGATCTCATCGTGTGACAAATGAAATAAAATTCTGTACAGATAATCTTTTGTGTTCGTGATATATCATACGACGAGACGATTTGTCAATCTCCTCGTCTGCAAAATTAACTCTCACGTGATTTAGTCGATCAGGGGGTTACCTTGCATGAAAAAGGAAAAAAATCAAAAGCAAACAAACAAACAAACAAAAAGAAAGAAATGGGAAAAAGTTGGAAATACTCTTGAAGCGACTTTATCGATCGAATAAAATCAATGTGTTGGTGTATATCGTGACGGATAACGAGGATCATTCTAATAAGACGAGCTTACACCCTAACTCATTATTCTTTGTAGATATATGTATAGTAGAACGCTGACTTCAAACGCAAAAGCCTAAATGTATACTAAATTCGTGTATATCGTAAATAAGACGACTAAGGATTAGGAACAAAAATTCTATGACACGATGAAAATTGAATTAAATACGATTATTAAATTATAATCAAAAATGATCAAAGAAAAATGGAAATAACAAATGAGAAAGAAATGATTAATACAGATTAATATTCTGTAATTAAGAAATTATAAAAGAAGTATGATTGAGAAAATAAGAGTGGAAAAATGAATGTTTGTTTTTACGGTCGTCTTGCTTTGTACAGTGTATGAAGAAATTAAAAAAAAAAGAGAAAAAAAGAGAGGGAGAGAGAGAGGGAGGAATAAAAAAACGAAAAAAGAATTAATAATAATAATAATAATAATTATACTACTACTACTACTACTACTACTATTACTACTAATAATAATAATATTAATAATAATATTAATAATAATAATAAAGTATATAAAAAAAAAAGATACAAGTTAAAATAAAATAAAAGTAATGGCAAAGTAAAAAATGATTAAAACAAAAAAAAAAAAAAAAGTATATGATTATTAAACGAATAAAATAAAGTCACTCGGTGTGTGTATAGGCGTATACTTTATAAAAATATTAAATTAATTATTAAACAAGAGTTAAAAATTAATTACACGGGAAAGAAGTGTGGGATGTTCGAATGTGTTGTTTTTTTTCTTTCTTCTTTTTTTTTCTCCTTTCTTTCTTTTTAACTTTCAAGACCATCGATATTCCATTCACTTTTTTTATTGTTTCCTTTATTATTATTATACATACAAAAGAAAATAATTATAATTATTAAAATGATAAAAAGGGGGAAAAAAATTGAGGATGGTAAAAAACTTATGCAAGGTGGTGCAATAAAAATCGAATATTGAAAATTATAAAAAAAAAAGAAAAAAAAAAAAAGGGGGAAAGAAAAAGGAAAAGGAAAAATAGAAAAGAATAAGAAAAAAGATACCGAGATATTATTAAATGTTGTTGGAGAGAAAAATTCTCTGATTTTTATTCGATCATGCGATACGATATACATATTATACATATAAACCATTTAAAAAAAAAAAGAAAAAAAAATACAAAACCAAATCACGCTACACCAAAGACGTCCGCGCGAGTCTGTTTATATAGAATTATTATTATAAATAGATATATATATATATAAATAAATAAATAAATGAAAAATGTGAACAAGAGAGAATGAATGATTTAAAAGTTTACAAAAATAATGAATAATAATACACACACGCACACACACACACATATATATATATGTATATTCAACGAAAATGCAACGACGTCTAAAGAAGAATAGAAGAAAAAAATAAGAAAATGAATCAATCGAATTATAAAACTTCTCGATACGAGAACAAATAAAATAAAACAAAGTGAACGAAAGAGAATAAATAAATAAAGAAAAAAATTGTAAGGGTTGGAGTGGGAAGGGGTGGGGGCAAGAAAGAGTTAAGCAAAAAAGATGCAACAACGAACAAAATGCAAGAATGAAATCATTGAAGGGGTAAGAGAAAGTTTTGAGGATAATTGAAATTAAAAGAAAAAGGGAAAAAAACAGTCACGCACGCGCACACATTAACATATACACATACACACACACATAGATCGAATATAGGAAGATAAGGATTTTTGTAGAAATTAAGAAACGGCCGTTTATTTTGTATGAATCCCGGATGTCGTACAAATGTTCGTCGTAATAATAAATAACACACATATCCCAGTTTTTATCGGGGTGAGATCGTTTTAGTGATGAAGTGAGATTCACTTGAGAGTGAGAAAGAAATAAAGTAAGAGAGAGAGAGAGAGAGAGATGATAAGAGTGTGAGAGAGAGAGAGAGAGAGAGAGAGAGAGAGAGA